CAACAAAACTTATATTGTTACGTTTTTATTTTCAGTATTTTATATTGCCGATTTTCCATTCAAAAAAATTAGGTCGCGGATTTACTACATGTTATGTCTTTAGAATCTCGCCGCCGATGAACATATAATAACTATCACCGGATGCACAATTCCGTGCAAGTACAAAAATTAAATAACTACCATCGGTATCGTTGCACAAATTTGTGGAAAATTTGTGATTTAGAGAGAATAAACGCCTACGAAAGGACGTTTACGACCTAAATAACTCGTTACGATGATTAGAACAATCGGCAGATGTTAGCAAAATAACAGAAATATATATTTCAATTTAGATTATTATCGAGATAAGCATGGCGCGATATTTCGCATCTGCTATCGTGCCAGACGCCACTCGTTTGTGAGACGGGTAGAGTGTTTGTGTTATTGAACCAATAACGGGACATTCTTGGAATTTGGAAAGCGTACCCTACTGACTCACTTCAACTATGGCATAATTTGAAATCCGGAAATATGAAACATGAATTCAACTTTTTTTTATTTTAGGAAAAAGACCTGAATCGTAGACCTTGTAGAGCGTCATTGTATCGAGATAAAGTACATAGAGTGAATCTAGACCCTCTGCAGCCACTAGCAAACCCGTATCGGATGTCTAAACATGACCAAATGCCTGTTAGGGTATTCCCCCTCCCATCACTGGCTGAAAATGAATTCACAAAACAGAATTTTTCTGAAAAAATGAAACTAAAATAAAATGGGCAAAAACTGATTGCGCTCGATGGCACAGGACCGTGCAACCAGTTATGACTATTTACTGATGACACCATCACATCGTTACATCACAAGGAGTTCATTGACGCGTATCAAAGTCGAGACTACTAATTTAGATGAAAGTAATTTTTCTCTCTCAAGCAATGAGGACAAAACACCGGAGTTATCACAAACTTTGACTCGAAATAAACTCAGATCGAGTAAAACACGGCGATATAAACAACAAATTAATTTTGGAATTTTCACAAAAAATTCTCGGAATAAAAGTAGAAGCGAATTCATGCTGAATGAGACTGAAAAATTTGAGGGATATGAATATTCGGGAAGGACAAAAGCTGAGAAAACCAATTGTATGAATAATGAAGTTGCGAAAGCTACATCTCCAGTTAAGGAAATCTGAAAAGACAGAGAAGATTGTAAGTATATTGAATGCATTAATTTACAAGCTGATATCTGACGAGATACAAGCTAGGGTTATCCCCGTAGTATGTGAACCAGGTTAGGGTTAGCCCATACTTTTATTTAGATTTTCCTTACTTAGTTTAGTTCTATTACAAGTTCGTGATCTGTCTTTGTATTCCACCAATTAAAATAACCATATATACCACTGGCATGAATAACAGCGGGGCCATGAGTGCTAAAAACCTCCGCGAGGGGGCCACGAGCCATAAAAGGTTGTGAACCCCTGGTGTATGACATAATAATGTTACATATCTTTAGTTCAAATCCCGCGCCACTATCTCACCTGGGATGTAAAATATATTGTGATGTCAAACTGGGAATAATTCCGCCCTCACGAAGATAGTGATCTACATGCCAGTCAATGCTTGTATTGGCCTCGTTTGGTGACAACGCTTTTTATTATGTATGCACACCTTCGCTTTAGGCCTTTTACAAGCAGTCGTTGATTTTGTGTCGATGGATCCTTATTGTCTGCGTCTAAATTTATCAAAAGTATCGAGGTTCTAGACAAGCAGCAACTAATGAATTTGAAAGCCAGTGTGTTTTTAAAATGATCGTAGTTTTTCCAAATCGAAATTTCCACATGACTGGTTCGAAATGATCAAAGAGTTTCATGTGTTGTGAGCAGGTATTTTAATAGCCTTTACTCTACACAAGGTTGGCACAAGTAATAAGCAATATTTGAAGGAGCTGCTTATTTGGAAAGAGCTAAAATTGTTCAAATAACCAGACTTTTCCTAGTTCTCCTAGTTTCCTAGTGACGTCATGGGCATGGTTGTGGGCAGCTGAGATATATAAGCGGCGATGTGTGGTAGAGGCAGAATTAAGTCTGGCAACCTATTGGATTAAGTTAATATTTCTGTTATATTTTCGAGATCTCTGTGAAGAATTCCGTCTGTCCCTGTCCAATGAACACAGCTATGAAAATCTTGACTTTTGGATAATTTGTGAGAAGTACTGAACCGTGACTGCCACACTTGACCGAACAAATCTTGCCGAAATAATTTTCAGCCAATTCGTAGGAAGTGAAGTTCCTCGAGAGGTAGGAAGAGATAGATATGTCTATGCTGACAATTTTACCCAAAGTATTGGATGTTTCCTCGACCCTTGACCCCAGAAATTTTTTCCTATACTTTCTATTGGAAAATTTCTGATGTCTTTTTTGAGAGTCTTTTGGACAGTTGGTACTCACAATCTGATTTGCCTGTTTAATAAAAGCCTCAGTTTTTGAAAAAATATTCAACCATGTGTGCTACTCATAGGTTACTGGTGTATACTTTTATACTAGTCTACCGCGACAGAGATTAATTCCTGAATATTGCAACTAAAGCTCCTTATAATGACCATTGAGTTATTTGATTTACAACTAATTTTTTGAAACACAATATAAAACTGACAAATAGGCGCCAAACCACGTAAACGAGGCAAAGTTTACACCCATACTTTAATATTCCCGAACGGAAGCAACTGCAATCATTGCAATTGTTACTCAATATTGTGGATTGTCACATCATAGTTGGTCAGTATTGTGGATTCAGAGGTTTTGTTGGACAAAAAACTCTGAAAGAGCAAAAAGATGAAAACATGTTGCCAGATATTCCCATGGCTGGGAGTATTAGTTCAGTTTAAGTCCATGACAATAAGGTGGTGTTCGACCATGACCCTTATATAATCAGGCCATTTTGTTAGCTGTTCTTTCCCCCTCAACAAATGTTACTGGTCATGTCTCTATATAATTAGGCCGGCCGGCATTGCCAGAGGAATTTGAAAGTTTATTCAAAACGTAAAGCAATATGAGATGTAAATGTTCCATGATTATGTATTTGTTTGCTCTGACCAAGGGTTCGAGCAAGCAATCATTCTGAACTTGTTTTGAATTAAATTCCCATGAACTGTAAGGAAAATGAGTCGAATATGTAGTTTTCTTTCTATCACTGTATATTTGTCATATGACAAATTTTTATGGCATTTCGTTACAATCTCTCCAAACCACGCACTAGGCAAGCATTTGTCCGGGCACTCCAGAAATACGTGTACCCATATAGAGGTAACTAATTTTGTTCTCCTAGTTTACATCAAGTTGTGTGAAGGGATTCACGCCTATGGGCAGGGGGTATATTCACTTGGATAACACAGGCAGTCAACGAACTTGTAATAGAACTAAAATCGAAATGAAATTATGGCTTAACCTGGTACACATACTACAGGAGTTCCCTTGACTGATACTTATACTTTGGTACCATGTTCTCTGACCAAGAATTTGAATTCTCAAGTTATTACCCTCTGGATGAGGTGGTAGGTCCAATCCAGGTCCGAAGCTCTAACAACCAAGGCCCTCGTTCCCCAGAAATCCCACTAGCGCTATGCATAACCTGCTCAATCATGACTGAATTTTTAATTGCTGTGATTGCACTGTTATTTTCTTCTTCTTCCCGGTATTTCTCAGTTTGTCACCAATTTGCACATTTCTGATTATTAAATGCAAATTAATATACAAGTCTCTGTTTTATGCGTGTGTATTACTGCGATGAGCGTTTGCTTACAGAGTTCAGTCTGCACTTTTTTGCCTTTCGAGCCTTTTAAAAATTAAAGACAGAATAACAATTAATATAGACGGTGAATGCTTTGACTTTGATGGAGTAGGCGATGTGATGAATAAACCCTAAGATTAACCACTACCCCTGTCTCCCGTCCATGACTGAAAATGGTTAACTCAGCTGTTTGTATGAGATGTATGAATAAAGTAAGGATCGAAATATCGGCTCGAATATTTGGAAATTCTGTCTCGAATACCAGCGTATTAAACTCTGCGACCTCGCTTTACGCAAACTTTAAAACCCGTCACAACCTATCACAGTGCAGATAAAACAATTGGTTAATAATTATTAGAGCGTCATATTTTATAACCTTTTGTTTACCTTTATATGTTTGCTAATGAATGTAGCGGATACTATGGAGAGTAATAGACGTCATCGAGGGTTAATATGCGAAACAAGGCTTTCTGGATGTGTCTTATAATATCGTTCATTAGTTCGTTATGTGAGAGGGACTGGCTGCCGTTTGGCTTTCGGTTGGAAAGCGGATATTGGGATCGCATAGTTCGGTTATAGCATAGTTCAGTGATAGCGTACCGGTAGTTGACAGTCTATCAAAATAGGATAGTTTTCATTCATATTTCTTTGAGGCGGGGAAAGCTTATAATTCGAGTTAAGCACGGCTTTATCATCCCAAGTAAGGTATAGAATGGTTCATACATATGGAAAGAATACCTGATTACCTATTTCCATAATCGGAATGCTGTCCGGACGAAAGGCGTGGTTTGTCACATGCTTATGGCGCATTGGGGTGTTTTTTAAGCAAGGACCCATAATATCTATAAGTACGAGCATGCGAAACTTTTTTGTTGCCCAGGGCGAGTTTATGATAAAGATGCCATCTTAACAAATTATAGATGTTGTTTTACGAAAAAATAAATTATAGGTCAAGTATAGATGTATTATATATATGTTTGATATGAGCTATGTGGAACCATAATTTTGATGTCTCAGTACATATCCAATTCGTGAGACTATTGGGGGGTGTTGGGGCTTTAACCCAACATTAGTAATAATCAGCCCCAACTTAATGCTTCACCCAATTGTCCATACCATGATCTATATTGAATACTGAGACCAGAAACATTGGAGTAGAAACAAGTTGATGATCAGGAAACTTAAAATTTTATTTTTTTTCAACTTCATGGCTTTGTAGCCGATATTTCGCAGCTCAGATAAACTTTAGCAACGTTTAAAATAACTTGAACCTAAGACTTGTTTCCAAGATGAGTAAGTATCAAGTATTGTTTATTAGTTTTATTTCAATTAGCCAAGTGAAATATTAAATGCATAAATTCGCGGCGTTTTTGTATTGGCCTATTCTTGTGACGATAGGTTGACACAATTCAAGTCAGTATTGTCCGGGAATCAGTGGTAAATGAGTCCACAAACAGACGAGAAAAACAGTTGACGGTCAAACATATTACAATGTAATATATATAAAATTATCTGTGTGACGTCACAGTTATGCGGATTTGGGAACCGAACATATTTTAAAGTGAAGTTTGGCAATTGCTTACGATTTGGTTCGTCAATTACTCGAGACTTACAGTTCCTTATACACACGAATAGGTGAATACAAATAAATAGGCGCAGTAAAACGTGAGAGCAAATGCTCAAATATTGCAAAGTCTGTAAAATGCTAGGGTTGCTGACAGGTTTGAAAGGCAATACTTTTCTTCTTAAATGTTCATTCCCCCAGTCTCAATTGACAGGCTGTGCGCCATGTCAGCCTGTAAACATATTCAATATTCTTGTTACAGATCCTTCTCAAATCTCGGGTAAAAGTTCTTCCGAACCAAGCACGAAGGAAAGTAGCAGACAGAGACGAGAGTTGGCGAAAATTCATGGTAGGTTAGAAATGATTTTAGGAATTTTCCTATCGATATTTCCTAACTACGCACAGATCCTAACTTTGGACAAAACATTTGAACTGGTATACATATCTTGGCTAATACGATGCGCCGTATATTGCTGATGTTAATTACTATAGCAAGCAATGATGTTTTTAAATCTATTATCAATTTTTTCAATGTTGCATAAATAAGTTTTTGTCAATAAAACGGAAATTTGCAACGAGATTAGAGTAAAACCGAAATTTTCGATTCATAGATTCGTAAATATATTCAGAAACCACGCTACGTCAAAAGTTACGTCAACCTCACCTAGATCATTTTCGCTTACTTCAGATATGACGTCACAAGCGCCGCGTAATGTTGACGCCGACACCACGGCGCTGACTTCACAATTTTCGCCTAGATAAAGACAGCACAAAATATTTATTGTTTTTTATTCATGAGAATAGGAAAATATTTGTATTTATCGTTTCTTATACACACGAATAGAAAAATACAAATAAATAGGCGCAGTAAAACGTGAGAGTAAATGCTAAAATATCGCAAAGTCTGCACAATGTCAGGGTGGCTGATGGGTTTAAAAAGCAATATTTCCTGCTGGAATGTTTATTATTTCAGTGTTAAGTGACAGAATGTGCGCCATGTCAGCATGTAACGTATTCAATGTTCTCGTTACAGATCCTTCTCAAATCTCGGGTAAAAGTTCTTCCAAACCAAGCCCAGAGGAAAGTAGCAGACAGAAAGAAGAGTTGGCGGAGATTCAAGGTAAGTTAGCATAATTTATAGTTGAGTTTTCCTATTAAATAACCTAAAATCTGTGTAAAATATTGAAGGTGCTCCAGAAGTATGCACACCAAGATGTCGCACAACCTGAATCCTAACCGGTACACACATACTATGTTCAGGTTGTGCGCTATCTTGGTGCGCATTCCTATGGTGATGTCGCACAACCTGAATCTTAACCGGTACACACATACTATGTTCAGGTTGTGCGCCATCCTATTGCGCATACTTCTGAAGGTCCGTAAGGCTTGTAGGATGCTTTGGCACATATTATAGGCTTTACTCTCTCGATATAAATATCAAATTACGTCGCAGTTTTTTTTTTTTCGAAAAAAGAAAAAAGCGACATCTGGTGAGTGGACAAAACTACAAGCCAGTTTTTAACTGGTGGTGATATAGGCATAGAGAAACAGCAATAGGATGGGGTAGAAGGGATTAAAGTTATGAGGCTTGAACTTTACTGCGGATAAAGTACAGACAGCCATTGTTACGTGGTTTCCTGCTATTTTTTGAATATAGCCGAATATTTCTGGATCTGCATTGCCCAACATATTTCCTAACTTTGCACAGATCCTAACTTTGGACAAAAAATTTAAACTGCTATTTATATCTTGGCTAATAAACCCCGTATATTGCTAAATTAAATTATTTAAACAAGCGCTGTTATGTTTATATATATATTATCAACAATTTTAATATTGCGTAGTTAGGTTTTTGTTGATAAACGGAAATTTAGTCAAAAAAAAAACAAACTACCCGCTATTCAACGGGCCAGAGCGTTGCTCTTCCTGAAGCTATACTCGTCATAATACCATCATTCGGTAGAGGGCGGTAACTATGTATATAATTTATAGAGTGATCGCAAGATGTCGTACGAGATTTAAGTAATCCCTGAAATTCTGAATTATACATTCCGTAAATTTATTGAGATTTCACGCTGCGTCAACACTTACGTTAACTTCACTTAGATTATTTTTCTCTCACTTCAAAGATGAGGTCACACTGTGTCGCGGAATGTTGACTCCGGACATCACGGCGTCGACTTGATAATTTTTGTTTATTTAAAGACGGCGTCGGCGTTCCCGTGCAATGCACTTTCTTTGTACCATTCCCGTATTTTATTCAACCAAATATATATTTATATACATAGATTAAATTCATGGGCATACAAGTCTCACGTAATCAATGACGTAAATAAATCAAAAATTTAAGAATTAACGAAAAGCGAGAAATTCCAATTTCAATATGTCTACTGACTTATTAAACAACTAATTATCGAAATTAAGGTCTTGTATTAGAAGAGACAAATATTGAATACAGCCCGAGTGAAAATAATTATTGGAAGAGAAATTTCATTCAATTTCTGACAGAATTCCAGGGACCTCTCTCGATTTTAATTAACGAGGCGGAATTGATGATTATACTTTACAATTGGTCTGGTGTTATGTTCGATATGAATTTATTACTTCTAAAGATGAGAGCTTAACATCAACAAATCTATCCGTCGCCAATATTATAACCTTTCAATGACTCAGGGCGTGCCAAACTTTTCTGCTGTCCAGGTTTTCTGACAATGAAGCCACTTATACTTAACTTCTGAAAGAATTCTTGGGTAAACAAATTATAGATGTTTTGATACTTGAGTATGAATGAATTAAAGGTCAAGTAAGAGTGGTCTGTTTGTATTATGTTTTCTATATCATCAAACTAAGCAACACAACTACACCCAGCGTTTCGCGCAGGGCGACATGTCATTTCCTCATTAAAAAGACTAACGTTTTATGAGGCTGGTCTGACATTACGAATAAAACAAAAGATGTAAATTTAAGACTATGAACGTTTCAATATTGTATTTTCATCGTCATGCTCAGATGTCAAGTTACATGTTTGTTTTTACTGATCTTTATGCAACGACGTGGTTACGTCTCGCATATCGAAAACTCTTCCTTTTTACGTCGCAGTTACGCAGCGATAAAAATGAATGTCAGAAGTTAGGACAGTGAAGGATAATGGTTGAATGTCCAGAAAAATAGAATATTGGACACGTAGTGGACACCTCTGTGAAGCTAGCAGCAAAACACGAAGTTGTGACTGACAGAATCGCAGAAAACACCCACGCGTAAAATTAAATATTCCCAATGATTTTTAAAAGAAAGTGTATATTTTGATTAGTTTTACAATAGCAAAAAATGCAAAACAATCATTAACTACACTACTCGTATTGTTAATATATAATAAAAACAAGCTAAAGCGACTGTTACAGTGCATAAAATTTTTTTATACTATTTTGAGTGTTGTTAAAATGACTGAATTTTCGTCGTTTAAGACGGTCGTTTCATGAAAACCTCCAATAAAGGCAGCATTGCAACACCATTGGTAAAAAGTAAAAACCTCAAAGATTCGATTTCATTATGTCAGAACAGTCTCAGCATGTTTTGACTTGGCCATATATAATACTAAACATAGCGTATAATTTTCAATTGTCTGCACAATGTATATACAACTAATTTAAAACTGATTTTGTATTTCAATTAAATTTACTGGATAGTTCATCAAAGAAGATATTTTTCTTTTTGTCACACAACAATAATGCACTTCATTAAACATAGAATAAGTTGAGGAAAGTCTGAAAGACCAAAAAAAAATTTACGCCCTTTTGTGGATTCTTTAACAAATTTCACAAAATTATCGTTTTTGTAAGGGCGATTTCTCAAAAACCGCCAATAAAGGCAGCACTACGACAAATTCGGAGAAAAGTAGATACCTTATAAATTTGATTTCATTATGTCAGAACAGTAGCAGCACGTTTTGACTTGGCCAAATATAATACCAAACATAGCGTGTCTTCAGAATTTTATAAACAATGCAGACGTAACATATTTAAAAATGATTTGGTTTTTCAACAAAATTTACTAGATAATTTATCAAACATCTTTTTCTCTTAGACATACATATATACTGTACGTCCATTAAACTTGGAATGAGTTGCGGAAAGTATGAAATAACAAAAATCATTTTACGCCCTCTTGTTGATTATTTTCAAATTTTCAAAAAATTATCGTTTTTAAAATAGCGATTTCTCAAAAACCGCCAATAAAGGCAGCACTACGACACATTCGGAGAAAAGCAGATATCCTTTAGATTCGATTTTATATTTCAGAACAGTAGCAGCACGTTTTAACTTGGCCATATATGATACCAAACATAGCATTTCATTTTATTTTACCGACTATGTAGATGTAACATATTTAAAAACCGTTTGGTATTTTAACTAAATTTACTAGATAATTTTTTTTTATAGCACGTTTTAACTTGGCCATATATGATACCAAACCTAGCATATAATTTTCAATTTAATTAAATATGTAGATGTAACATATTTAAAAACGGTTTGGCATTTCAACTAAATTTACTGGATAATTCATCAAATACTTTTCTCTCTTGGTCATACATCGAAACTGTACGTTCATTAAACTTGGAATAAGTGGCAAATCTTAAAATAACAAAAAAATGATTTTACGCCCTCTTGTGAATTTTTTTCTGAATTTAAAAAAAATATCGTTTTTGAAAGGCGATTTCTCGAAAACCGTCAATAAAGGCAGCACTACGACACATTCGACACTACGACACGACACATTCGGAGAAAAAAAAAGATACCTTGTAGATTCGATTTCACTATACCAGAACAGTAGCAGCACGTTTTGACTTGGCCATATATAATGCCAAACATATATAATGCCATATTCCCAATTATTTAAATAGCGTAGATGTTCAAATATTCTAAAAAGAGTTCGGTATTTCAAATAAATTCACCTATTCCATTTTCTTCACCTATTTCCATTTTTAAACACCGATACTTTGTGTTAATTATATTTAGAATAAGTTGCAAATGGTATAAAACAATAAAAAAATGTCTTACGCACTATACTTTTTTTTAATTTCCCAAATATACGCTTTTAGAGTGACGATTTCTCAAAAACCGCCAATAAAGGCAGCATTACGACACTTTTAGATAATCGAAGATACATTAAAGATTCGATTCCACTACACCAGAACAGTAGCAGCACGATTTGATTTGGTCTTATATAACATCCAACATAGAGTATATTCTTCAATTTTTGAATAATGCTAACGTTAAAAATTCATAAAGCTGTCGTATTTTAAACGATTTTACTGAATACTTGTTCAAATATAATTTTTTCTCAGTCACACATCCATACTGGACAAGGCGAAAAATATATTTGATCAATTATCCAGCAAATTAAGTTGAAATACAAACTTTTTAAATTCGTTACGTACATTTTGATGTAAAATTTTAAAAACACGCTATGTTTGGTAATATATATGACCAAGTCAAAACATGCTGTTACTGTTCTGGTATAGTAAAGTCGAATATGTAAGTTATATGATTTTCTTCATATGTGTCGTGGTTCTGCCTTTATTGGCAGTTTTCGAGAAATCGTCACTCCAAAAACGATAATTTTCAAAATTTTGAAAATAATCCACAAGACGGCGTAAAATGATATTTCGATATTTTATACTTTTCGCAACTTATTTCAACTTCAATGAACGTACAGTATTGATGTGTTAGCAAGACAAAGAAAGTTTGATAAATTATCTAGTAAATTTAGTTTAAATATGAAACTCTTTTTAAATATGTTATGTCTGCATTGTTTTTTTAAATTTTGAATACACGAAAATGGAATCGAATCTTCAATGTATCTGCTATTCGCCTAAAAGGTGTCGAAATGCTGCCTTTATTGGCGGTTTTCAAGAAATTGTCACTCCAAAAAGGGCATGTTTGGGAAATTAAAATAATATTATATAGGGCGTAAGACATTTTTTCATTGTTTTATATAATTTGCAACTTATTCCAAGTTTGTGTGTGTTTGAAAAAGTAATAAAACGGAATATTACGTTATTAGGTGAATTTATTTGAAATACCAAATCTTTTTAAAATATGTGAACATCTACGCTATTTAAATAATTGAGAATATGCGCTATATTTGGTATTATATATGGCCAAGTCAAAACGTGCTGCTACCGTTCTGACATAATAAAATTGAATCTATAAGGTATGTGCTTTTCTCTGAATGTGTCGTGATGCTGCCCTTATTGGCGGTTTTCGAGAAATCACCACTCCAAAAACGATAATTTTCGAAATTCTCAAACTAATTCACGAGGGTGCGCAAATTTTTTTTATTATTACTTTATACTTTCTGAAACTTTTAAGTTTCATTGAAGTTTAATTGACGTACAGTATTGATGTGCGACAAAGAGAAAAAGATATTTGATCAATTATCCTGCTTTATCCAACTTTAGTTGAAATATAAACCCTTTTTTAATATGTTACGTACCGTTGTTTAAAAAATCGAGGAATATACGCTATGTTTGGTATTATATATGGCCAAGTCAAAACGTGCTGCTACTGTTCTGGCATAATAAAATCGAATCTATAATGTATGTGCTCTTATCCTAATATGTCGTAGTGCTGCCTTTATTGGCAGTTTCCGAAAAATCGCCATTTTAAAAACGATTATTTTTTGTGATCCAGGACAGAATCCACTGGAAGTCGCAAATGTTTTTTTGCTGTTTTATACTTCCCGCAACGTATTCCAAGTTTAATAGATGTACAATATTAATGTGTGACAAAGAGAGAATGATATTTGATTAATTATCTAGCAAATTTAGTTGAAATACAAAATCAATTTTAAATTCTTACGTCCATGCCGTTGTAAAATTTAGATTACACGATATGTTTGGTAATATATATGGTCAAGCCAAAACGTGCTGCTACTGTTCCGTTATAGAAAAATCGAATTTATAGGGTATCTGTTTTTTTCCAAATGTGTCGTGGTGCTGCCTTTATTGGCGGTTTTCGAGGAATCGAGGTTCCGAAAAGGATAATTTTCAGAAACTTCGTATTTGCGGAATACCTGAAAATTTATTTTTCGCTTAGTTAGTCTTTTTTTAAACACTATTTTCTTTTTAAATTCAATGTATTTATTCAGTTTAAAGATTTTTCATGTATTTTCGTGCAAAAATTATATTTTGATCAGCATTTTCATTTTCATATGTAACTATAAGTGAACATTATATGCGCGTGGAACCTATATTCAATGTGTAAAAATATTCTGGCTGAAGGTGCTGCTAGTTTCACAGTGGTGTAGTCACTGACTACACTGTAGTGGACATAACGATCGTTTCAAAATTTTTTATTGTTATTTTCATTATTTGTCTCCATCATTTTTAAAAAAATCGCTTTTCTCTTCGAATACTGGACCAATTGCTTTGAAATTTTCAGTGAGTGTATTGAGTTTTTTGCCAGAAGGCTATTACTTTTATTTATTTCTAAATTACGCATGAAATTTGATATTTCGTCTAAAATTTTGCTGTATTATTTTATCCATGGGAACACTAGCTGTCCGGTTTGACCCGGTAAATTATTTCTACTCGAAACTCGGAATTTTTTGTGGGTACCGGTGGCGTCAAAGGTATATACTGCTTCGCTCTTTGCTACCGGTATTTGTTTTTCGAAATCATAGACTGCTTGCTTGGTGTCAGTATATTTGTAGACTGTGGTATGTCTTGTAGACCAGTACCGGTATGCAGACCAAGTATGTACCGGTATGTAGACCGTAACTAGACCAATACGGGTATTCAGTTACCGGTATTGTATTATGAACAGGAAACATGTAAAAGATTTTAGTCCCAATACTGTACCGGTAACTGCGTTGTCTCAGTTCTAACACCGGTACCGGTACCATACGCTGTTACCCGGTTCCGGTACCGGTAAGTGCCGAACACTGGAATATATCAAATGTCAGAATGCCTTGAAATGAATTTCCTTTACCAGATTTGGCTACTTCGGACGAAAACCAATATTTATCGGTATCCGAACACTGGAATATATCAAATGTCAGAATGCCTGGTACCGGTAGTGAAATGAATTTTCTTTACCAGATTTGGCTACTTCGGACGAAAACCAAAATTTGTACCGGTATCCGAACACTAGAATATATCAAATGTCAGAATGCCTAGTAGCGGTAGTGAAATGAATTTTATTCACCAGATTTGCCTACTTCGGACAAAAACTAAAATTGGCATACCTACCGGTACCGGTATCCTTCCTGACAAAATTTTGAACTGAATAAATATTTAAATCATACAGTTATAACTTTGCAAATGCTGATACTGTGTTATGTTAGTATTTGTTGTGTTTTCGTCCGTTTGATTGCTGTGACGTAGTGCTTTGTTTATAATTTGACGAGTTTTGTTCGAAATAACCGTGTTCTTAAAATATATGACGGTCAGAAATGCAATTAGAAGCCCAATGTTTTTAAAGATAGAGAGTTCTGGTAGCGCGGTGACACTGAACTATTTCGTAGCTGTCAAAAGCTTGAAAATCCATACAAATACAGAAATATAAGAGATAAAAAGATGAACTTTGGCAGGTGGGTAGAGTTGTGTTTCTTTTAACCATCTTTAAAGGTTTCGCGTTTTTACATTCAAAGGAGGGAGAATAGGGGGGTGCGCATTTCCAATACGTCGATAATATCTTTGTCAACCAATTTGCGACCACCGTGTTTTTGTCTGTTTGATTCCTGTGATGTGGTGCGTTGTTTATACAGGTACTGGTAAGTCACCGAATATGATTTTTTGGAGAATTGTTCTGCGTGTCCATATATTTGAGCATTGCTCTTGTTTCAAAAGTAAACATGTCTAATAGACTTTCACATGAATGTTTTACTGAGCGAATTTGAAATCGTTTGGACAATAAATGGTCAATTTAATGCTGAAAACAAATCTCATATTACCAAAGTCAGGATATGAGACGGCATTTGATAAATTAACTCGAAATTATCATATCTATCACACTCTACTTTCCTGGGTGAGATTGCAACAAAGAATTTTGATCTTGGATTCGAAGGCAAGTAGGCACCAGGCGATCACCAGTAAAATCACTCAGCACAGGCGTCGCGTTTCTGCTGTTATGTCAGGGGTGCATGTCTCACATCCCGAGTAAGGTCTTGAACACATATCCCGTCTCTTTTATACCGTTTGATTACTAAGCAGATACTGTTACGTTTTTGAGAAAGAAGACAACCCCTATCCCCTATTTTTCTAATCTGATTGTCAGATTCTGTTTATCTAATAATGATAAGCTTGAATAAGTTAATTTTGACGTTTTTGCTGAAAAAAAAAATACCTCAAGGAATTTTTGAGATTGAGATTAAATTTAGTTTTGGAGCGAGGCGTATTGTTTTCCACTTTATTTATCAACCTTGTAGCATCATAAAGATGTAATTTCACTTGCACAATCTGAAGAAGATGAAGAGAGTGTCTCCTTGTCATGTCATTAGTTCATGTTGGTACGAGAATTGTTAACTAGTAAATATTTCAGGTTTTCTACTGCTTTAAATGCAATACTTTTTCTACCCTACCTTTCCTTAACCCAGTTTTACTTGAACAGTCACATAAACATTATACATTTTTACTTGTTACAGATCCTTCTCAAATCTCGGAAAAAAGTTCTTCCAAACCAAGTGCAGTGGAAAGCAGCAAAGGTGGTAGCCCATTATTACCTGCAAGCAGGAGAGAGGGAGAGGACGAGAAAATTCAAGGTAACCAAAGATTTGAGCAAGTTTCAAAGTTTGTGTTTCCCCTGATTATAAATTAAAAAATTGGTCACACACTTTAACAATGCTCCCCAATACCAAGTATTTTAATCCTGTTCAATCTGGGTTTGTAAAAAAATCCATTATTTTAAATTTGAGATTGACTTCATAATGCTTTTATGGTTTGGTGGTCATATTTCTGTTGTTGCAGGCTTGGACATTCCAAGATATCAGGTTCAGATGACCATCTCATCTATGACGTTATAATCGTGATAGGGAAAATAGATTGTGTCCTTTATATATTTTCTCCAAGAATTGTACTATTATTCCAAATTCTTTACTAGTTCTAGTTCTAGTTAACTGTGTTTGTTATAAGAAAAGCTAGTTCGTTGCGTCTTCACTTCCCAATAAAATTGCCTTTATATTGTAACTAGGCTACCTCTTCACTGGCTGAAAAATTAAACTTGACTATAACTCGAAATAGGGCTTGTGGTTATGTAAGACTCCTAAATGAAGGCTGTTAGTGGAAACCACCATGCAACGGCAATCTCATGTAATGAGAGAAATGGTAAAATAAAACTGACTTGGACTATGTTCTTCTTTTTGGCTTTATTCTCTCTGAAATAGAAATTCTGTCATGTGAACAATTTTAGATCATTTGGCTTATGTGTCTTAAAAATAAACAATAAAATAGCGAATCTGGTGAACAGGCAAATACCCACTGATATGCGAGTTGCTGCTTTTATTCATGAATTAATAAATGTATGTATGTTCCTCCTTTGGTCATGAGTTCATGTCAGGTATAGAAATTTTTGTAATTGTTTCAGGTACTCTACTGCTTGAAAAGCAACTCTAGCTCTACTCTACGTTTATTTATCAACGTCTTTCACATGATAAGTTACACAAATATTTTCCATCTTTACTTGTTACAGATTCTTCTCAAATCTCGGAAAAAAGTTTTTCCGAACCATGCGCAGTGGAAGGCAGCAAAGGTGGTAGCCCATTATTACCTGCAAGTCAGAGAGAGGGGGAGGAGGAGAAAATTCAAGGTAACCAAAGATTTGAGCAAGTTTCAAAGTTTGTGTTTCCCCTAAAATATTAATTTAAAAATGGGTCACAAACTTTAAACAATGCTCCCCAATACCAAGTATTTTAATCCTATTCAATCTGGGTTTGTGAAAAAATCCATTATTTTAAATTTGAGATTGACTTCATAATGCTTTTATGGTTTGGTGGTCATATTTCTGTTGTTGCAGGCTTGGACATTCCAAGATATCAGGTTCAGATGACTATCTCATCTATGACGTAATAATCGTGATAGGAAAAATAGTTTGTGTCGTTTATATATTTTCTTCAAGAGTTGCTCTATTCATTTCAAATTCTTTATTGGTTCATCACGCTTTACAAATTTTCTAGTTAACTGTGTCTGTTATAAGAAAAGCTAGTTCGTTGCGTCTTCAGTTCCCAATAAAATTGCCTTAATGTTGTAACTAGGCTACTTCTTCACTGGCTGAGAAATTGAACATGACTATAACTGGAAATAGGGCTTGAGGATATGCAAGACTCCTAAATGAAGGCTGTTAGTGGGAACCGCCATGCAATGGCAATCTCATGTAATGAAAGAAATGGCAAAATAAAACGGATTTATTCTAAGTTCTTCTGTTTGGCTTCATTCTCTCTGAAATAGAAACACTTTTAGATCATTTGGTTTATGCCTTGAAAATGAAAAATAAAATAGCGAACCTGGTGAGCAGGCAGGTATCCACTGATATGCGAGTTTGCGCTGATATGCGCTGCTTTTATTCATGAATCAATATATGTATGTTCCTCCTTTGGTCATGAGTTCATGTCAGGTATTGTTAACAAGTATGTATTTCAGATGCTCTACTGCTTGAAAAGCAATACTTCTTCTATCCTATCTTTCTTTACCCCATTGCATTGCTCCGCCTTTGGTCAGGTCATGAGATCATGTCAGGTATAGGAATTTTTGTAATTGTTTCAGGTACTCTACTGCTTGAAAAGCAACTCTAGCTCTACTCTACGTTTATTTATCAACGGCTTCCACATGATAAGTTACACAAATATTTTCCATCTTTACTTGTTACAGATCCTTCTCAAATCTCGGCGAAAATTTCTTCCAAACCAAGCGCAGTGGAAATCGGAAATGGTGATAGCCTATCACCTGGAAGGCAGAAATCGGAAGGGGCAAAAAGTGAAGGTAACAAAATAAATGAGCAAAATCTATAGTTAAGCTTTTTACAAATATTTTAAGCACAATATTGGTCACAATCATGGCTCAATCTCCACCTCCACCATGCAATGGCAATCTGATGTGTTATATTGCACTTGTCAATTGCTAATGTATGTAAAGCAATACTACAACTTTCCCTCAATTTCATGTGAGCAGCGAAGCGATAACGCAACTTGTAAATATTCTTGTCACAGATTCTTCTCAAATCTCGGGTAAAGTTTCTTCCAAACCAAGCGCAGTGGAAAGCAGCAGCAAGGGCGGCAGTCCTTCACCAGCTCAAGAGAGACAGAAGGTGGCAAAAAGTAAAGGTAATGAAAAAAATGATGAAATTAAAATTTATTTTATTTGGACTATAGAGGTAAATTTCTGTCGTGTGAAAATATATATATCATTTGGTTCGTCTCTCAAAAATAAAACACCGACATCTACAAACAGACAAAATTATTTGTTAAATAGACTTAATTATCAGTGAGGCAAGCCTATATAGAATGGCAGTAGGGTTGGAGGGATTACCAAGTATTTTAAAAATATTCGATTTGAGTTTGTCAAAAATGCGTTATTTGTAAATTGAGTTTTACTTCATAATACTTTTATAGTATGGCAGCCATGTTTCTGTTGTTGCAGGCTCGGATATTCCCAGCACATCAGGCAGTGATCAGAGTGGACGTTCTGTTGAACAGAGAGCTGAAAGTAAAAAGTCTGGAGTTGATCAAGGTAATGCTGCTTGTGGATTTGTTGCATTTCTCTATTTATTCCAAATTCTCTATTAGTTTATGGCGCCATACAAAATTTCAACCATGGCGCATCATCTAGTTTCCGGGTAATAGTAATGAAAAAAAGTTTCTCAAAGTCTGTAAAAAATAAACTTACGTTGCGTAATTCGAAATAGGGCTTGAATAAGTAAGCCTTCTAAATGAATGCTGTTAGTGGAAACCACCATGCAATGGATTCTCATGTGTTATATTGCTCGCTTCAAGTGCTAATGTATGTAAAGCAATAATGCTGCTTTTTCTTTGTTCATTTCCATTGATTTTATGTGAGCAGTAAAGCGATAACACAACATGTGAATATTCTTTTCACAGATCCTTCTCAAATCTCAGGAAAAAGTTCTCCTGAACCAAATGCAATAGAAAGCAGCAAGGGTGGCAGTCCATCACCAGCTAGAAAGAGACAGGAGGTGGCAAAAAGTGAAGGTAATGAATGAAATGGTAATATAAAAATAAAGAGACATGGTCTATATTCTTCTTTTAGGCTTCATTCTTACTGGTATGGATGTGGGATTCTGATCCTTACGTATGAAAACTTATATGTTATTCATCTTGTCTCTTGAAAATAAAACAGTGACTTCGGGCGAGCGAACAAAATTATTAGAAAAATTGGATTTAATTGATAGTGACACAAGCCTAGAGAAAACTGCAGTAGGGTTGGAATGATTATAGCATTAAAACATTGTTAAATTTATCTCGGAAGTGAAAAAAATTAAAATGGTGGTTCAAGCATAAGTCAAGCCATGGATCCTTATCCAGTTATGAGTTCACCTGACGTATAGGAGGTATTAACTAGCATTTGTTTCAGATACTCGACTGCTAGAAAGCGATACTTTTTCTGCCGTTTGTTTCTTAACCCCAGTTTTACTTGTTCAGTCACATTAATATTACCCATCTATACTTGTTACAGACCCTTCCCAAACCTCAGCAAAAAGTTCTTCCAAACCAAGTTTAATACCAATAATCACCAATAATTTTTTCCAATTTTTCTATTTTTAGTTATATTATGAGATCAGGGACTAGCCAAGTAACTCCTATAGTATTTTTACTTGAATTTGTGGCCTAACCCTAACCTGTTACACATACTACGTTCCGGTGTCGGCAGTCTTGGTTTACATACTACATGAATACGACTACTTTTTTACTGGCTGAAAAATAAACTAGACTGTAATTAGGAAAAGGGCTTAAAGATATGCAGGACTACATACTCCTAAATGAAGGCTCTAAGTGGAAACCACCATGCAATGACAATCTCATGTGTTATATTATATTGCTCTCATCAAGTGCTACTGTATGTAAAGAAATACTGCTACCTTTATTTTGTTCATTTCCCTCAATTTCATGTTAGCAGTAACACGATAACGCAACATGTAAATATTATTGTTACAGATCCTTCTCAAATCTCTGAAATAATTTCTCCCAAACCAAGTGCGGTGGAAAGCAGCAAGGGTGGCAGTCCATCACCAGCTCAAGAGAGACAGAAGGTGGCGAAAAGTAAAGGTAATGAAAAAATTTGGTAAAATTAAAATAAAGAGATTTGGAATATGTTCTTCTGTTAGACAATTTGACACCTGTGGTTGCATTACACTTTAATCTTTTGTACATCAGGTGTCGCACTTGACGAAGCCAAGATTTAAACATTTTTTATATGAGCATCACTAATTGTAGTTCTCTGCTTGGTCTTTGTAATGTTCATTTTCGGAAATAATTTTTTTCACGCCAAGGCATCGATGGTAAATTTTTCACAAGAATAGAGATTTTCATTAATAAATTACTTTTTATAAAAATCAAGCAATGACACATCTCTCGAATAAAAACATGACTTTATCTCCTCATTGCATTGCATGCAAAAAATTTGCACCTGCCATTTTGTTGCTATATTCCATTGAAGCATGGCTTCTCCTCTTCAGGTCATGGGATCATGTCCGGTATAGGAATTGTTTACAAGTATATATTTCAGGTACTTTACTGCTTGGAAAGCATCACTAGTTCTGCCCTACATTCTTTTACAACATCTTTCACATGATAGGTCATGTAATTTTATCCATCCCTACTCGTTATAGATCCTTCTCAAATCTCTAGGTGTTGTAGGCTGCATATCAGAGGTTACCTACTTTCTAGAACTTTGCCACCTTCATTTATTATGTCGAATGTTTTCATTCACGAATTAAAAATTTTTTTTTACCAATTAACACTAGGTCATGTCTTTTACCATTTCAAAACGTCTCCGGCACCAACGCATCTTACCCCATTCTTCCACTTGTATCCATACTCTCTTATTCCTAACTGCGACAAACAAAACTTTGTTATAAAATATGATTATGCCGACTTATCGGCTTTCCCTCGCGGGATAAATATGAAAATTCTATTCTGTTACCCACAAGTCAGGCAATATCTGTATTCAGCTACTGTACAGACTTTCGCTTCCATTCCCATGGTTACACACAAAATGGTGCTCGGAGTCGTTATCCGTTTTTCCTTGGATCGAGCGTCCATTGGGTATGAATCTTCACCTCGACTTACTTTGACGTAAACCTGTTTTAACAATTATTGTTTGATTTATATATTACTATTTTTATAGCTTAGGTGATGTGAGCAATATTCAGTTTAGTTTTGTTTTTTTTGTCAACAAAGTTTTCCATTTGTGCAACATTCACCTCCTTAGCACATGTATCCTAAATACTTCAACTATGTTATTCTGAAATGGTTTTGGTGAAAGTTGGCGTAGTTTAAAACTTGAAAGAAATTTCATATATATTGGAAGAAAGAAAAATTCTATGGGAACCAGTTAAATTTGCCATGTTCATGTATACATACATATGTTTACATAACCCCTACCCACTGTTGCTCACATTTCTCTCTGGAGTACGAATATCAGAAAACCTGATCTTTTCCAATACCGACCCATAATTTTTATCATACTCGGTTTGAGTTTGTCAAAAAATGCATTATTTTCAAAATTGAGATTGACCTGATAATGCTCTCATAGTATGGCAGCCATATTTCTGTTGCTTTGTAATAGATTCGATAATTCATTAGTTAATTTATTAAATGCCGTTACATTGCCTAACTTTGCACAAAACGGCCTTATGTTGAGCTATAACTTTAATATTTTTCTCCAAATGGTTCCAAATTCCCTAGAGCTCACAGAAAGTTTTGAAATAAATAAGAGCAATAGTCTCCTAATGCTTTCATAGTATGACAACCATATTTCTGTTGTTGCAGGCTCGGATATTCCCGGCACATCAGGCAGTGATCAGAGTGGACGTTCGGTTGAACAGAGAGGTGAGAGTAAAGAATCCGTGGTTGATCGAGGTAATGCTGGTTGTGGATTTGTTCAAAAATTACTTGTATCAAACGACTTGAGTTTTGTATCAAACAATGTTAGCAATGCATGTTAAGGATATAAGTTTGTCTAACCCCTTGTTCAGAGAGGACGTTTGAAAATCTCCTAAAAGATTAATCTTGCTATCAGACTGTCTAATCTCCAACAATCCACCCTTATCTAAGTGTATTTCATATTACAGCAAATAGTTTGTCCTACTTATATATTTTCTCTAAGCTTATTCCAAATTCTCTATTAGTTTACCACGCCCTACAAATTTTCAACCATGACGCAACATCTAGTTCCGCAGCAGGTACAAGAAAAAATAGCTCTCGGCGTCTTCACTTAAAATTGTGTTTAACTTTTATTTCTCCTAATTTTGTAACTTTATTACTGGCTGGAAAAATGAACTTGATTATAACTTGAACTTGAACTCTTGGTGCCATCTAACCTGGCATAATATAATAGGATTATTGGAGTTTTTTCTCTTGAAAAGCATATGCCGCTGAGATCTTTTCCAGTATTTTGAGCAGACAGAGCCTGTTGCCGAGTTACCGACGACTTTGTCATTGTAATGTAACTTCATTTCGTTTGAGTCGTCGATCAACTGCAGATGGATTATTATGAAAAAACCCAACAAAAAAGAAAAAGCTTAATTAAAATTGTGATATTTCTGTTGCTGCAGGCTCGGATATTCCCGGCACATCAGGCAGTGGTCAGAGTGGATGTTCGGTTGAACAGGGAGCTGAGAGTAAAGAGACTGGAGTTGATCCAGGTAATGCTGGTTGTGGATTTGGAGAAATGACATGATGATTTGAGTTTTGTATCAAACTATGTTAGCAATGCATGTCAAGGGGGAAGGGGTTCAAATGATCCTTTCATCTATGACGTAATAATCTTGATGGGGAAAATTCTAGTCCTCCAAGAGCATGGTAATATCTCATAAAACTATTTGTCTAACTCCTTGTTCGAAGAAGAGATTTAAAAAAATGTTGAAAAATTCAGCCTGCTACCGAACTGTCTAATCTCCCCCAATCCTGCCTGATCTAAGTGTATTTCTTACTAAATAGTTTTTTCTACACATTTCTTCATTACAAATGCTCTATTAGTCTACCATGCATCAAAATTTTTCAACCATAACGCAACATCTAGTTTTGGCATCGCGCGTCTTACAGATAATTCATCACACGATTGGTAATTTTCAAATTTTTCTCAGGGGAGAAAAAGGGTATCTTATAAGGCAGTACAGTCGTAATGTCGACCTTGGCTTCTCGTCCGGTAATGAGTCCATGTCGGGTATGGGAGAATGTTAAATAGTATTTGTTGCAGATGCTATTCTGCTTGGGAAGCAATATTTCTTCTAGCCAACGTTCACTCATTCACCTCAGTTTTACTTGATTAGTCACATAATATTATCCAGTGTCCCGTGTTTTTGTGAACCACCGTGCAATGGCAATATCATGTGTTACATTGCTTTTGTCAAGTGCTAATATATGTAAAGCAATACTGCTACTTTTCCTTTGTTCATTTCCCTTGATTTCATGTCAGCAGTAACATGATAATTCAACATGTAAATATTCTTGTTACAGATCCTTCTCAAATCTCAGAAAAAAGTACTTCTGAACCAAATGCAGTAGAAAGCAGCAAGGGTGGCAGTCCATCACCAGCTAGAAAGAGACAGGAGGTGGCAAAAAGTAAAGGTAATAAGAGAAATGGTAAAATTAAAATAAAGAAACTTTGACTATGTTCTTCTTTCAGGCTTTATTCTCACTGGTATATATGTGGGATTCTGATCCTGTCGTATGAAAAATTATATGTTATTCATCTTGTCTCTTAAAAATAAAACAGCGACTTCTAGCGAGCGAACAAAATTATTAGAAAAATTGGATTCATTTGATAGTGACACAAGCCTAGAGAGAACTGCAGTAGGGTTGGAAAGATTATAGCATTAAAATATTGTTAAATTTATCTCGGGGGTGAAAAAAATTAAAAAGGTGGGTCAAGTTTATGTCAAACCATGGATCCTTATCCAGTTATGAGTTCACCTGACGTATAGGAGTTATTAACTAGCATTTGTTTCAGATACTCGACTGCTAGAAAACGATACTTTGTCTACCCATTGTTTCTTAACCCCAGTTTTTCTTCACCTTAATTTTACCCATTTTTACTTGTTACAGATCCTTCCCAAATCTCAGCAAAAAGTTCTTCCAAACGAAGCTCGGTGAAAAGAGGCAAAGGTGGTAGCCCATCACCTGGAAGGCAGAGACCGGTGGTAGCGAAAAGTAAAGGTAACGGAAGATATGAGCACAATTTAAAGTTGGGGTTTCTCCCAAATATTAGGCACAGAATTGGTCACAATCATGACCCTATCTCCACCTCCACCTGTTAGGCTTTTCTCACCATGGAGTAATCAGGATAATCTGGCATTCTGTCAGTTTGTCTCTTAAAAATGAAACAGCAACATCTTATGAGCAGACCAAACCTCAAGTAGTTTTCAATTGCCAATGAATCCTTGTAAGAACAATAGATGAGATGATTGATTCTTCATGAGTTGTTCTCATACATTCACTCCAAACAAGGACGTACAAGTAGTTCATGAGTACATGTCCGGTATGAGAATTGTTGATTAGTTTTTGTTTCAGTTAGTCTACTACGTGAAAAGCAATGCTTATTTTATCGCATGTTTCTTTATGCAAGTATTTTGTGATCAGTCACATAAATATTAACTGAGCTTGCTTGTTACAGATCCTTCTCAAATCTCAGGCAAAATATCTTCTGAATTAAGCGCAGTGGAAAGCAGCAAGGGCGGTATCCCATCACCTGCAAGACAAAGAAACGAGATGGCAAAAAGTAGAGGTAACGAAATATATTAGCAAAATTTCCTAGTGTGGGTTTCATCCCCCTAATAACAAGTAGCCTTTATTTTGCAACGGACCGAAATGTTCCGGGTTTGGCAATGTCTGCTCTACCATCATCTAGTTATGCTGGTAAAAAAAAATTATCTGTGACAAATTTTTGTTTTCCCAGTAAAAACTGTCTTTAGTTTTATATCTCCTAATTTTGTAACAACTTTGGCACTCCCTCAGTATTTGATCCAAGATAGTGAACACCGGAATGTAGAATGTGTATCTGGTTAGGGTTAGGCCATAATTTTTTTCCAATTTTCCTTATTTTAGTTCTATTACGAGTTCAGGGACTAGCCAAGTGACCTCTGTAGTATTTGTATCTGAATTTGTGGCATAACCCTAATCTGTTACACATACTACGTTCCGGTGTCGGCAGTCTTGGTTTACATACTACATGAATATGACTACTTTTTTACTGGCTGAAAAATAAACTAGACTGTAATTACGAAAAAGGCTTAAAGATATGCAGGACTACATACTCCTAAATGAAGGCTATAAGTGGGAACCACATTCATTCATTTTTCGAAAATAATTTTTTGCACGCATATGCACTTCCAGGCATTGATGGTAATTTTTTCACATGGATAGAGATTTTTATCAAGAAATTACTTTTTATAAAAATCAAGCAATGACACATCTCTCGAATAAAAAATGGATTTTATCTCCTCATTGGATTTCATGCGAAAAATTGCCACCTTCATTTATTATGTCGAATATTTTCATTCACAAATTAATTTTTTTTTACCAATTAACACCAGGTCATGTCTTTTACCACTTCAAGACGTCTCCTGCACCAACGCATCTTACCACTATACTTCCACTTGTATCCATACTCTCTTATTCCTAACTGCGACAAACAAAACTTTTTTATAAAATATGATTTAACGACCCATCGGCTTTCTCTCGCGGGATAAATATGAGAATTCTATTCTGTTAACCACAAGTCAGGCAATAACTGTATTCAGCTACTGTACAGACTTTCGCTTCCATTTCCATGGTTACACACAAAATGGTGCTCGGAGTCGTTATCCGTTTATCCTTTGATCGGGCGTCCATTGGGTATGAAGCTCCACCTTGACTAACTTTGACATAAACTTGTTTTAACAATTATTGTTTGATTTTTATATTACTATTTTTATAGGTTAGGTGATGTGACATGTGAGCAATATTCAGTTTAGTTTTGTTATTTTTGTCAACAAAGTTTTCCATTTGTGCAACATTCACCTCCTTAGCACATGTATCCTAAATACTTCAACAATATAGTTATTTTGAAATGATTTTGGTGAAAGTTGGCATACTTTAAAACTTGAAAGAAATTTCATATATATTGGAAGAAAGAAAAATTCTATGGGAACCAGTTAAATGTGCCATATTCATGTATACATACATATGTTTACGTAACCCCTACCCACTGTTGCTCACATTTCTCTCTCCAGTACGAATATCAGAAAACCTGATCTCCCAATACCGAGTATTTTTATCATACTCGGTTTGAGTTTGTCAAAAAATGTATTATTTTAAAATTGAGATTGACCTGATAATGCTTTTATAGTATGGCAGCCATATTTCTGTTGCTGTGTAATAGATTCGATAATTCATTAGTTAATTTATTAAATGCCGTTACATTGCCTAACTTTGCACAAAACGGCCTTATGTTGAGCTATAACTTGAATATTTATTTTCCAAATGGTTCCAAATTTCTTAGAGCTCACAGGAAGTTTTGAAATAAATAAGAGCAATAGTCTCCTAATGCTTTCATAGTATGGCAGCCATATTTCTGGTGTTGCAGGCTCGGCTATTCCCAGCACATCAGGCAGTGATCAGAGTGGACGTTCGGTTGAACAGGGGGTTGAGAGTAAAGAATCCGGAGTTGATCAAGGTAATAATGGTTGTGGATTTGGAGAAATGACTTGATGATTTGAGTTTTGTATCAAACTATGTTAGCAATGCATGTTAAGGATATCCGGTTCAAATGATCCTTTCATCTATGATGTAATAATCTTAATGGGAAAAATTCTAGTCCTCCAAGAGCATGGTGTTATCTCATAAAACTATTTGTCTAACTCCTTGTTCGAAGAAGAGATTCGAAAAAATGTTGAAAAATTCAGCCCAAGCTTTCTAATCTATCCCAATCCTGCCTGATCTGAGTGTATTTCTTACTAAATAGTTTTTTCTACACCTTTCTCCATTACAAATGCTCTATTAGTTTACCATGCCCTAAAAATTTTCAACCATCACTCAACATCTAGTTTTGGCATTGCGTGTCTTACAGATAATTCATCACACGATTGGTGATTTTCAAATTTTTCTCAGGGGAGAAAAAAGGTAACTAATAAGGCAGTACAGTCATAATGTCGACCTTGGCTTCTCGTCCGGTAATGAGTCCATGTCGGGTATGGTAAATGTTAACTAGTATTTGTTTCAGATGCTATTCTGCTTGGAGAGCAATATTTCTTCTAGCCTACGTTCATTCATTCACCTCAGGTTTACTTGATTAGTCACGTAATATTATCCAGTGTCCCGTGTTTTTGTGAACCACCGTGCAATGGCAATATCATGTGTTACATTGCTCTCGTCAAGTGCTAATATATGTAAAGCAATACTGCTACTTTTCCTTTGTTCATTTCCCTTGATTTCATGTGAGCAGTAATATGATAACGCAACATATGAATATTATTGTTACAGATTCTTCTCAAATCTCTGAAAAAATTTCTCCCAAACCAAGTGCGGTGGAAAGCAGCAAGGGTGGCAGTCCATCACCAGCTCAAGAGAGACAGAAGGTGGCGAAAAGTAAAGGTAATGAAAAAAACGGTAAAATTAAAATAAAGTTTTGGAACTTGTTCTTCTGTTAGACAATTTGACACCTGTTGTCGCATTACACTTGAATCTTTTGTACATCACGTGTCGCGCTGGACGAACCCAAGATTTAAACATTTTCTATATGAGCATCATTAATCGTAGTTCTCTGCTTGGTCTTTGTAATGGTCTTTTTCGAAAATAAATTTTTTCACGCATATGCACTTCCAGGCATCGATGGTAATTTTTTCACATGTATAGAGATTTTCATCAAGAAATTACTTTTTATAAAAATCAAGCAATGACACATCTCTCGAATAAAAACAGGACTTTATTTCCTCATTGCACTGCATCTCAAGAAATTCGCAGCCTGTCATTTTGTTGCTAAATTCATTTCATTGAAGCATGGCTCCTCCTCTTCAGGTCATGAGATCAGTGCTGTATAGGAATTATTATTTTTGTAATTGTTTCAGTTACTTTACTGCTCGAAAAGCATCACTATTTCTGCCCTACATTTTTTCACATGATAACTGATAGGTCATGTAATTTTATCCATCCTTACTCGTTATAAATCTTTCTCAAATTTCTAGGTGTTGTAGGCTGCATATCAGAGGTTACTTTCTAGGACTTTGTTAAGAATGAAGAGTCATAAAGGGGGTGGGGCATAGAATTATGTGTTATGTGCATGGGTATCTGAGTATGGATAATAATTTTATTTGCAAGCCAGACTGACCTGAGTTTGTTCTACGTATCCTATTTAATACAATCCCTTTTACATCTGACCCTCATTTAACCACATGTATCAATATCCGACAGTCTCAAGTCGAATTTTAAAAAGTAATTTGTTTCAAAAACAAGAAAATATAGCTCAAATAAAGGCATATAGGCACACAAAGGCCAAACGAAGTTGTGCGGGTGTCTGATCTTTCACACTACTGGTACGATATCTTTGTCTGTCCCCCATATTGCAACAAATGCAAAACCGCCACAAGGTACGCAATTTTCAATTTTGTTGTTGTTATTATTCATATAATAACAAGTCCCATAGAACCCCAAAAAATTTCAAAATAAATTAAAGTAATTACTCTTAGTGAAAACAAAAATCATCAACTACTAGAAATTCTAAACCAATTGGTTCTGTATTTAGAGAGAAAGCTATTTTTTTTTCATAATGAGAAAAATACAAGAAAAAAAAATTAAACAGCAACAGCATAATACTAGAACAATCCATAGGTTCACTTCTTGTCCAAAAATATCAATCATAAGCTATCAAATATACTAAATACTTCAATGATTCAATTATTCTGAAATGAGTTTGTCAAAAGTTTTAAAATTGAAATTGACTTCATAACGCTTTTTCTAATTTGCAGGCTCGAATATTTCCAGCACATCAGGCAGTGATCAGAGTGGGCGATCGGCTGAACAGAGAGCTGAGAGTAAAAAGTCTGGAGTTGATCAAGGTAATGCTGGTTGTTGATTTGTTTAGAGATGACTTGATGGTTCGAGTTTTGAATAAAACAATCTTGGCAATGCATGTTACTGATAATTCCTTAAACTATTGGTGATTTTCAACTTGATCTTGAGGGAGGAAAATCATATGTCAAACCATGGCTCCTTGTCCGGTCATGAGTTCGTGTCAGATATGGGAACAAGTATTAGTTTCAGGTACTCTACTGCTTAAAAAGCAATAATTCTGTTACGATACGTTCCTTCATCCCAGCTTTATATGATCACCCATGATTCAATATTATCCATCCTTACTTGTAACAGATACTTTCCAAATCTTGGCAAAAAATTCCTCTGAACCAAGTGCAGTGAAAAACAGCAAACGTGGTAGAACAATTACAAGTGTTATGTCGTTACGGTACTCTAGGTGTTGCAGGATACATATAATGGGGTGCTTGGGTAGGGCTTTTTTTAGCGTGTTATATTTATCAACCTTTTTCCCATACAGATGCAACTTCACTCGCACAATCTGAGGAAGAGGAGAGAGTGTCCAATGTTCCACCACCCAAGCTCGGTGCATCTCCATTTGATCCTCAATTAGCTGAGCAACATCCAGAGCCACAAGGGGCAACAGCAGGTGAAGGTGGGTTTGAATATTAGAGTAATTGATAATGCGTCAGACAAGAAATGCCTAAATGAATCAAATATTTAACAATATAAAGGGGTTTGTATCCAAGATCTCTTAAGATGGGGAATATCAGTAACGTATAATTATTTTGGCTGTTGAAAGATTTTTACTGCCTTTACCGCCCATCAAACTCTTCGAATTTCAAGCTTTGATTCACCATTTATGTAATAGTCCATCATCTGATAATCAACCAGAGTTATCTCTGTTGTGGTGGTGTCATTCAATCTATTATAATGCATAATATAATAAGATTATGACTATATAATGATGAGGTAATGTAAAAATTCTTGCATTTTGGAATTCCTAAACCTCGAATTTTTTTCTAACAGCAATGATTTGAACAATTCAAAATACCATGTCTTTTACCTAATGCGCTGAATCTTAGGTGTTGCCGGTACATATTAGTGGGCACTCGTCTTGGGAGTGTTTTATGTATCAACCGTCTTCCCATACAGATGCAACTTCACTCGCACAATCTGAGGAAGAGGAGAGAGTGTCCAATGTTCCACCACCCAAGCTCGGTGCATCTCCATTTGATCCTCAATCAGCAGAGCAACATCCAGAGCCACAAGAGGCAACAGCAGGTGAAGGTGGGTTTGAATATTAAAGTAATTGATAATTATTCAGTCAGGAAAAGCCTAGGTGATTCAAATATTTGAAAATATTGAAATGTTGTTGAATATATGTTTGAGAAGAAGTTGCTATAACATAGTAGATTTGTGAATTATTTTTTTCACGCAATTCGTAAATTTTCCAAATTAGAAATGCTTAGCAGTGTACTAATGTTGTGTCACCCTAACCCTTTCACCAGTAATTAAATGACTAGTAACCAATTGGATAAAATAATGACTCTCTAGTGCCATCTAGTAAGATTTAATGTAGAAAGGTTTTGTTACGTATTTTGGAAGTTGGAAAAGTAGCTTTA